ACCATAAAAGACTGCGGACATACATTGTACCCAACACTTGTACAAGCAACAGTTTTAATTGCCAGGAGAGACTTTAGATAGAGCTGTATGTGCAGTGCGTGGGTGTCAAAGGACAGGATGTATGGTTGAGGATAGTGTGAGTAGCCAGAGCATGCAGGGGCCCCTAACATCACCCTACCTCTTTCCCTCCCTCCCTCCCTCCGAAAAACACGTGCTTACCAGCAAAATCGCCAAGCTGCCGGCTGGTCGCCTGTTTAGCTAGCTAGCTCTCCCGAGTAGTGCCTGGTGCATGTCCGGGTAGTAGATGGTTGCACACAATTGTGTGCGGCAGAGAAGTGAACCGGAACCGTCTCGTGCATTCTCATCATCACCATCATCATCACCTCGTGCATTTTGGGGAATTGGATGCATCCCTCCACCAGGTTTAAGTGTAAATTTACATCCGTTCTGCACCCCGATGATCCATACATGATCCATGCGTCGGCATGCATGCAGACGCCGTCGCGCACCACGTCCAAAAGGGGAGTTGCGGGAATCGAACCCACGACCTCTCGCACCCGAAGCGAGAATCATACCACTAGACCAAACTCCCTCTTGCTTGTCCTGAGGGGACCGAGTTGCCCGTTATATACACCTTGTACTGCAGCTGCTATACACACACATCCGTATAGCACGCGTGTGTATAGCGTACGCACGCGCGCATACACACAGACACGCACACACACAGACACGCACACGCACACGTGTGCACACACACACAACACACACACACACACACATTCACGTACGACAATGCACGAGGCGCAATCGCGCAACTATTATGATGATAATTTCTTGAAGGGGATCGGGAAAGATATGGCGCATCATAGAAACATCCACTTACAAGCAAGGAGATAGATAGAGTCGACTCTATCAAACAACCTCATGGCTGTAATTATGAACCACATGAATGATGATATACGTAATAATATATCATTAACCATAAACACACATATACAATAATATGTAATAACTCATTATATACCTGGTATATATACCTGGTATCGCTACCCCGCTGTACTATCTAGCTAGTTATTATATATATATAGCACTCGTGGAACGGAACTATCTTAAGATGCACTTATCC